ACATCTTGTGTGTTGTAAATAATGAGACAGCCTGTACTGTGTTCCATTTAATACTGTCAGCTGGTTCAACTGAGTCTATTAAGGAATAATATTTCAAAAAAATGAACAACATTCCTACTTACTATGAGGACCAAATCAGAATTGCACTGGGATTCAAAATGACTTGCATTACCATTTTTATCACAAGCCAAACTAAGTCGATGGAAATAATTACATGAATAAACTGTTATCCATAGCTGATTTAATAAATTACAATATTTCAGCAGAACGCAAAGCTGCAGATGAATTTATCCTTATTAGAGTCAGACGTTTCATCAGCCATGTCTACAATGAGCACTCCATTATAGAAGTATAAATAATCTCTAAAAAACTTCTGTCTAAATGTATTAAATGAGGAGCTTAATTGAGCATCATCCACCAAGCTATATCTAAAACACTGAGTGAAATGATTCACAGTAACAGAGGTATTTTCATTTGTGGCTCTGTCACAGATTATCTTCAGAATAACCATATTATAAGGAGATTAAATTGTCATCAAGTTATTTACAGGTTAGGCTATTTGTTCTACTTTGGTCTGTCTCCAAAGAATATGTTGACTACTAGCTTGCATACATTGATTAAGCTAGCAAGCTAACAACACAGGGAGCCTGTACGGTTAGCCTAGCTCAACACCAGTGTCCAGTCAGAACAACAGTAGCTAGCCTGAGCTCCTATATACACCGATCAGCCACAACATTATGACCAGTGGCAGGTGAAGTGAATAACACTGACTGTCTGTTACAGTGGCACCTGTCAGTGTGTGGGGTATATGAGGCAGCACACGGACATTTAGTCCTCAAAGTTGATGTGTTGGAAGCAGGAAAAATGGGCAAGTGTAGGGATCTGAGTGACTTTGACAAGGACCAAACTGTGATGGTGAGATGACTGGGTCAGAGCATCTCCCACACTGCAGGTCTTGGTGGGTGTTGTTGGTCTGTAGTGGTTAGTACCTACCAACAGTGTCTAAGGAAGGACAGATGGTGAACTGGAGACAGGGTCATGGACGCCCACAGCCCACTGATGATGAGGTTGATCTACTATAGATTAAACTTTTAACTTCCTTTTGTACTTTTCAAAAGATTAAAATTTATTTGAATCTTTGTTAAAATGGCTGAAAATGAGAAACACTGTACACTGGTCTCTATGAAGAGAAAGAGTCAGGAGCTGTAGTGGTGATATCACACCTAGAATGGTGAGGCTGTTGAATTTGTCTAAAAAAATTCTAACTCGTCCTCACGACCACAGCTTTCACTCCTTTTACATTAGTTTTCACTGAATTGTAGACACATCTGTGCTCTTCCTGACAGTAGGACTGTGGAAGAAAATGGATTCACAGAAGATGCACAGTGAGCTGCAGAGTGACACGAGTTTCGAACCAACTGCCGAATCGACTCCTACGGTATGTAAGAAGTATTAGGCAGGTGGGCATAATGTTATGGCTGATCGGTGTATGTGTGGAAACAACAGACTCAATTTAACTTACATCTGATGTTATTACCCCCTTTTTCGTATATTTTCAGTCTACACAAAAAGTCAGTTTTCACTGCAAAAGCTCAGTGAGTTAATAAGTGTCACTAAACTTGTGATCTGACCACTCCAGATGGATGTGACCACATTCTGACTGCTCATCCTTCTGACGATGGTGGGATGATTCAGAGTGAGAGTCATAATGCTGCAGAAGGCTTGAGGGAAAGTTTCTTCAAAGTGATTGCACTGTCTGACAGGCTGGGTACATGCTTCCAGGTCAAACAGAAGCTGGGGGTCTATGAAATCCCTCAGGGTCAAGAGCAGTCATCATTGTGGAAAAGTATCCTCCTCTTTATGTATTCTTGCTGCAGTCATACCTACTAATGATGAGGTTTTATGTGTCAACAAAGGGGCCTCAGAATGTTCAGTTGTATTAGTGAATAAATGGTGGGTATGGTGTGGGTATGCACAAAACAGAAAAATCCTTCATCAATTATTGGAGATGTGGCCATCTCCAATGAAATATCACAGATGGTCAACGCAATAGGAGTAAAGTAATTGTAAAGAAAATGGAGCCTTGGTGAAAGATAGAAAGCAGCCCACAGACAGATGGAAGCCTCATCTGTGAAGAGGCCATGCAGCCATTTGCTGTCAGATGCTCCCTGTCAAAAACTGGGCAAAGAGCATTTGAGTTTAGGTCTTTTCTTTCCTGACAGAATGTATTCAAACAGAGAAAATGGATTTCACATAAGCCATGACAACCACAGAACAATAACTGACAGAGGCATTTCACTGCTGTTATGGCTCTGACAAGAACCACTGCTGCCACCATCCAGTGGTCAAATGTCAGTCTGCTCCTCTCTCAGCTTTATTACACAACCTGCTTGGTTAATAATCTCAAATATGGCTGTTGGAGCTTTTCATCGATTTGGCGCGTGTCATTAACTGCTGTATGAAAACTTTACAATATAGATCACTTTTCATTTATTCAGTTATACAGAACTCATGTAAGAATTATACATATAAAGGATATTGTATAAAATATTTTTTAAAATTACATACAGTATTTATGGTCAAAGCCCCACTCGGTTTTTTCATGTTATAGTATCTAACAACTAAAGATTTTTTTTTAACTAAAATTTTGACAGGGGCTTATTAAACCACGTCTATTTGAAGTTATAGAGAAATGCAGATTTTTTAGTATTTAAAGTATTTTTTTTTGGTGACAGGGAGCTTTGGGCCTTCATTATTGCAGCAGACAAAACATCAGGTGGTCAGTAGAATCATTAGAGTCATCCTCTTCTTTTTCATTAGGACAATAAATCTCCACAGTCAACTCCATGGCAACCTGGCAAGCAGACTAATAAACTGAGAGGTGGACAGATGCAGAGAGTCAAAGATCCAGCGTTACCTAAGCCCTATCACCTCCAGGGCAAAACACTGAAAAACTGCTTTTTATTCTTCTGATCCTAAATTAGGATTATGACATATTCCTCTGAGAAAAAATAGTTTTCAAACTTGATACACCTTCAAAACTGCTTTAAGGTATTGTCTATGTACCCAACAGAAGACCCTACAGTATATTGTCAACCAGGTATGTCCAGCATGACTGAAGGCAGTATCAATACAAGCAGGGAATGATAACTACACTGATGACAAACAGCAAAGATGGTCTGGAGCAGAGCAGTGGATGAAGACCAGTTCAGTTACAGAGCAACTTCAGCTTTTAGCTCTGCTTTTTCACCAATAGCTGTGTGACAACTGTGAGGGGAAAAACAGCAGTGTCTGAGTCAAAATTCCTTGACTGAATCTTGAAACTATGTCATAATGTTTTTTTGTTTATTTGATTTTTTTATTGGTGTATGCCACCACCAGGGTGACGAATGGCACTGCACTAGAACATATCATCAAAAAGAAATGCGTAGCGAATCTGAGTGTGATTTTCATTTTAAAATCCCTCCCTAATGAGCCTTATGACATATACTGTAGCTTCATTTGTGAGAATCTGTAGTAAATTATGCAAATTCAGACAATGGCAGGAAAATCATGTGCAAGCAAATCATTATTTCCTTTATGAACCAGTGAGTTTTGATAGTTATGTGATGTAACTAAGTCTGAGGTTGAAGGAGACAAATGCATAAGAAGAATCCAATACCCTTGTGCAGGATTTGAAGAACTGCCATAAGTCAGCACATGACACCCCCATTTAAATTAGATCGGGAGGATATAACATGTTGTACAATGTTTCTCTGGTCCAGGGAGACATTTCAACAAATTTTAGCAAAGAGCCAAATAGAATTGGTAACAGACTGCGGGGACAGTTGGGGTCATCCATCAAACAGTCTTTGACATGTGAAGGGAATGTAGCCGCCTCCACAATCCCCCCACATCACACATTATGTTGCACACAAGCACCAGGAAACACAGCCATTAGAGTACATACAG